ACAGTTGGCATAAAAATCAATAAGCGCATTCCCAACAAAAACATCAGAGTTCATCCCCATCCTTATCACAAACCCATGAATCATTTTACCTGTCCTTAACATCCGCACCAGAGCACACGCTTTCAGAACTGTAGGTACAACATATTTATCAGGTAACATGCCTTCATCAACCATCAACCTAAACACCAAAAACAGGTCTTCCCACTGCTCTGACCGACAATAAGCACTTATCAACGATGTGTAAACGGGAATCTTTCGCTTGGGAATATCGTTGAACAACTTACGGGCATAGTCTAAGAACTCCTTATTCTTCGAGTATAGCATAGCAAGCTTGTTTCCAATCCAACCATTCTCTTCAAAAGCGTTCAACTTCAGAGCTTGAGCATGAATCTGTCTACAGTCACACACAGGGTTACTCTTTAGTAAAGAAATGCAATGACCAATTTCAGAATTGGTTTCAGCTCTTGGGTTATTGCTGAGCTTGGTAGTCTTTTTGGAGGAAAAAGAGAGATGGGTTTGTGGGTTTGCTTGGTTTGAGAGTGTGGTGCCAGTAGAAACGTTGGTTGTGTCTGTGGAAGCTTGAAATATGAAGGAATTGTTGGGTTTTTGTGGGAGAGAGGTTTCAATGAGTAAGGGGTTACCAGAAAGCAAAGAAGTTCGAAGAATTTCCATAGCCAGAAAGCAAGAAATGCTTAACAAAATGACAACCCCAGTAAGTAAGAAGCAAGGCAAATGGATGAGGTCTGTGTAACCAAGCTCAGCGGCGCGCTCAGAGACACAGAGAAACAGACTGAGTAATGAGTTTTGTTTTTGAAGTTGAAGATGGGTTTTGCCTCTCAAGTGGGAACGGCGTCGTTCTAGTAAGACAAATGGTCTTGTTCCATCGTTCGCTGACCTCACAACTTTTTTTTTTCCCTCTCTATTTCATTTTTAATTTTTCAATTTCAAACTTCATTTTTACATTCTAGGTAGGAATAGAGAGGCCACTTAACATGACTTTTTCTTTTTCATAGACAATTACTATTGTTTAACAAGAGTAATTTCCCCTTCTTTTTTTGCATAAGCAATATTGAAGGAGGAAAATTCGAACACAAGACATCTGATGATACAAAGTAAAAATTGTCCGACAAGATATCATAATCTCTTGATAGTGTACATATACAGATGTCGATAGTTTTTTTTTATAACCCAACCATTATATTGCTTCTTGTACGTGAACTCATACATAAGGATGATTTCCAAATTGAAACTTCATAAGCTGTTCGATACTTTTCACTCGAAGAAACTTTTTTTTTTTTTTTTTTTTTTTTGGGTCTGAACTTCATGCTGTATTCATAAAACCCCAAAACAGGGAATAGAAATACAAATAGAAGGCAGAAGCCACAAGGAGCCAGCAGAACACAAGAACAAACTAACAAAAGCAGGGTCAGACATAGCTAGATTCCACCGGAGCCTAGAACAACAGTCCCTACCCAGCAAACTAGCTACTAATAGGAATTAGACTGCAGAAGCAACAAGAGGTGGACAAGGCAAACCATCAAAAGTTAACACCCCAACGAGAGGCAATGGTGGTCTGTCGACCCAACTTTGCAGTTCCATAGCTCTGTTACCTATCGACGCCACTGCATGAGCGGCACGATTTGCACTCCTAGGCACCCATGACCAAATCACCTCTTCGAAGCTCGAAACCACATCATGGATTTCGTCAATAAGAGGAAGGATAGCCCAGGAGTTGTTATCATGATTTCCAGCGATGCCATCAATTAACACCTTGCAATCTGTCTCCAAGATGACTTGAAGAAACTATTTGATACAAGTGAAATCCCACATTTGAAATTTATGCTGGGTTCCTTTGCTTCAGAATTTTGTTCATATTTATACATCTTGATAAAATGCAACTTGGGAAACCCACAGATAAATTACATTTTGTATCTAAGAAAATACAAGGAACATAACCTCGCAGTCTTCAAGCACCTGAAATTTGCTATGCCAGTTTGTTTGTTGCATCAAACAATAAACTTGGTGCTCTGCATTCCCTTACCATTCAAACACACAAGAAGCTACCAAGTTTGCTCTCCCAATTTACCCAATGCTTTTCTTTCTGCAATGCGATCGAAACGAATCCCACAATTAGATTTCTTGTTTGTTGCTTGAATTATTCAAATAAGAATGCATTTGGAAGTACGATGAAATTGGATTTGTACACAGATTCATCATATGACTATGAAGCTGCCATGGATTAAAAGGAACCTTCTTTTCTATATTTGGAAGAATCCCAATATGAGTCTAGAAAGTCCAACCTAAGAACTATTCTTAAAATTCACAAAAAACACTGCAAAAATTTACCATTTAGAAGCTGAATTGCGGGCTTCAATGGTGCTGTAAAATTTAGAAAAGCGACCAGTTTGGGGTTTGGGCTTCACGGTCTTCTTCCGCAGCCCGAAAATCTCTTGCACCAGAGGAACGTGAACCAAAACCAGCTTCCAGGCCAACCACCAACCTGAAAATTTGATCATATACAAGATTTGTCACCGACCCAGATTCTCAACTCGCGTTTTAATTGCTACCAGAATTCCAAAAAGAAAAAAAATAGGAAAAAAAAAGTGGGAAAGTTAGAGAAATAGTAATTACCAACGGAGATGAACGAGAAAACGACTGCGATTGCGAAGAGAGGACGCAGAAGGAGAAGGGTTAGGTAGTCTCGGTAAGAAAGAGACATCTCAGAGGACGATGATTCTATAAACGAGCACAAGAAGTTTCCAATGGTGCTTTTAGTTTTGCGGAGAGTCTGACTTGAAGTTAAAGTCTGTGAATTTGGGCTGGGTTTGAAGAGAGAAAAAAGAATAAGCCTAGGCCTGGTGGAGACATGGGCCAGCTCCATGGTATCATGGGTTCAGTCCAATATGGGTTTTACCAAAACTTATCAGTAACCAGGGTCCAGGTGCATAGCTCTTTTTGTTTATTTCTATCCTCAAATAATATTACGTGAAGAGAGAGACAAACACAAAAAATTATAAAATGCATTACTTTATAAGTCTTTCGTAACCATGAGTAGGAGCGGAGCCATGTTTGGGCCTAAATCTCCCACCCAAAAAAAAAAGGTATTTCCACACCACCCCTTCCCAAATATATATATGCAACTCATGAATTTTATTGTATTTTCTTGTTTGTGGTGTTTATTAGGTTCTCATTTGTTCAATGTATCATTGGTAATGTTTTAAACCTATACTTTGCTGCGAACAAGGTTTTGTCCAGCGAAAAAGGATCTTACTTGCCGGCCAATAGTCTCATGTTCAAACTCACGTGACATAACATTGATAGTATGTGTTTGAAACCTCCCTCCTTTTACAGTTTAGACTATCACTTGTAATTTTTTTTTAAAGAATAATATGTACTTTGCTTTGTATTTTTTCCATTCAAGCTTTAAGTTTTGGCCCTCAAAAACTATAAATTCTAGCTCCGTTCCCTGACCATGAGAGGCACGACTTGCAACCATGCTCTAAGGTCATTCTCAAGGAAACACCACCTCACTATTCACAATTTTCATATGCCAATGCAACGAAACCAATATACTTTAGCAAGTTCTACCTTACTTTTAACAATTTTCACATGGTAGCACCAACATATTATTTAAACTCAAACATGCATAACGCTTTAAATGATGGGAAATGCTAGCAACCTTCTTTCTAACCTTCTCTGTTGGACATTCTCCCTTTTTTGCTTGACATGTGTCATTATCCTTACACTTAAAATAATGTCATTAATATATTATACAAGTTAACTTTTGTTTTTCAAGTTTACCCTTATTAAATATATTCAATTTATCCACACAAAAATTCACTACTTTCTTACAATCTTTATATATTTTTTAAAATTTCAATTATTCTTTTTAAAGAAAATGTTTGCTTTTTTTCAAAAAAGAGGAAATGTTCATTTTTTTTAGGGTGAGTTTATTGGCACACCATTATTTGCTCTTTACACCCCATACTAATTTTAAATATAAATAACCTATTTTACTCTTGTACATAATTACCGTTAAGAAAAAAAAATTAAAATTAAAATTAAAATTGCTTACTACACCACACATATGTTCCTGCAACCCTAGTTTGACTTTTTTTCTCAAACTATCATGTTCCTAAACCCTAAACCCTAAACCCTAGATTTATAAGTTTATACTGGTGAAAAAATATCTAGTATTTATTCATGAAGGGTGAGATTGAAGTTAGAGAGGCGTCGAATGAGGTATGAGTTTATTTTTTGGCGTTTTGCAAATTTAGTATTTCATAACGGTCGCTGGTTGCGTTCAGCACATCAGTACCGAACGCGACAAGTAAATTCGGTGGGATGCCACCGAAACGTTGCATCGTTTTCGGTTGGGTTTGACCGGTCAGCAACTTAGAGGGGTGTATTCAATTGAGATTTTAAAAGACTATTTAAAAATAAAAAAAATCCAGCAGATTTAATCAGAATGTAATGACTTATAAGATTTTATTGATAATTTTGTATAATCAAGATTTTTAACTTTTGGATTTTAAAGATTATATCATAAGATTTTATAAGATTTGAAAGGACCATATGGATTTATATCATAAGATTTATATCTGGGTCTGACTAAATAGGGCCATAGCCCAAACCAAAATTTGAAACTTTTTTAAATACCTAGCCCGACAAATATAGTAAACTAAAAACAGGGGAGGTTGCTGGTTTTACCATCTTAACGCTGGCCTGCTGCACAACTGGTAACTCCAGTCAAATAGTATAAAAGGAACTTGCTTGTGTTACCTTATGAACTGTTACTGTTATGAGATATCATGTGGTTCTATGCAAGTGAAGTTTCTGCCCTATGTTCTTTTGGGGGGTAGTATTTTCTCTTCTATCCATGTTGACCGAGGCAACAAGAACAAGAAAAAGGTATTCTCGTTGGTCATCTTGTGTGTGAATTTCTAGTCTTGTTCGTCTAATGGATAGTTTCATTAAATCTCAAAGCTCAAAAAAAAAAAAAAAATGCATAATGCATAGGTAACAATATGCTTTTGCTGAAATGTATTATATTCCCCAGGAAAAAAAAGGGAAAATGAAAGAAAAGACGAAAAGTTACTTCCCTTGAAATTCTCCCAAACCTCCTATGAGTAAACAACATGAATCATGGCTATATGCAGAGAAGGTAAAGTGGGTTTGTAGGTATATAGTAGCGAAGGTGAAGTGGGTTTGCAAGTAGAGTTGCAGAGATGGCTGGTGGCAGTGAAGCTTTGGTGTTGAAGTTGGCTTTGAGAGAAGGCAAAGTGGATGAGCACAAAAAACAATCTCACGTGAAAAAAAAAAAAAAATAGTCTCGCGGGTTAGGGTAGGATTTGAGATAGGGATACATCTCACTAAAAAGTCTAACACAATTTCACATTTAAAAAAATCCTTCGAAATTAATAAGTTTTTGAATACCATAAGACTTTTTGTTACTTGTTTAAATTCTTGATTAAATATCACAAGATTTTGACACTCTCTTTAAAAAATCCTAATAGTCTTAATGGAATACCACAAGACTTGTTTAGATTATTTAAAAGTCTTAATTGAATACCACAAGACTTATTTATCCCAAAATAATATTTTAAAATCTCAATTGAATACACCTCCTTAATATTCGATGGAGATCCATCGTAAGATGGAATGTAGTTCAGCGGTTTACTACCAAAATTTTACCTGCGTTTCAGTGGCATCAAACCGAAATTTATTTATTTTTTCAGTAACTTATTGCCTACCACAAATTTAATCCAAGCTATTTTGATCTTACTCCCATTGAAGGAACAAAATCAAGGTGACGCCCCTACTAAAGGCAACAATGTGGGAACAGAATGTGTAATGGACTATAGTGATCAATTCACAACTTATTTGGTAATTATTTATCTGAAATCCTTTTTAGTATCATTAACGTGGCATTAATGTTTCAAATTTTATATTTAAATAAATGAGTTTTATGTGTAGATATTCAATGGTAGAGATGCATTACTTCGATGGACTCGTGAACAAAGAAAATTGAATAATATTGTCATTGTAATTAAAAGGTTTGATTATGGAGGTGAGGGCAAGAGGAGACCTCGTGTAATACTTGCTTGTGACAGGAACGGTAATTATAAGTCTTGCTAGTCTAGTGAGACAACTGATATAAAATCGGATGCAAATAGTAATATGAAAAAATGTGCTAGGGACACTGGTACCAAGAAATGTGGATGCCCATTCTTGTTAAAAGGTGTCAATATTGGTGATGGGGATGATTGGAAGTTGGAGGTGGTTTGTGGAGTACACAACCATCCTATTTCAGAGTATCTTCAAGGTCATTCATTTGTGGGGCGACTTACTGAAGAGGCTTGTTGGTGGACATGTCTAAGAGTTTGGTGAAACCCATAGATATTTTGGTTACTATTAAAAATAGAGATGCAATGAATGTTTCAACTATGAAAACAATATACAATGCTAGGATCCGAAATAGAACCAAAGAATTTGCTGGGAGAACCCAAATGCAACAATTGCTTACTAAGTTATCCGAACACAATTATATTTAGTGGCATAGGACATCTGGTGATATTGTAACTGACCTGTTTTGGACACACCCCATTAATATTGATATTGTGCGCGCATTTCCACATGTACTTACCATGGATTGCACCTATAAGACTAATAGGTATCGTTTCCCACTATTGCAAATTATGGGGGAGACATCTACTAATATGACATTTTCTGTTGCGTATGTGTATATGAATGCTGAGAAGAAAGACAATGACACATGGGCATTGACTACATTGAGGAGTTTGTTGGATGATAATTGTCTTCCTGGTGTTATTATCACCGATCGAGAGTTAGCACTTATGAATTCTATTATGTCTATATTTCCGAAGCACGACATTTATTATGTAGATGACATATTAACAAAGGAGTGTTGGCAAACTGCAAGAAGTTATTTGGGACCCTCAAACAATGGAAGCAATTTAATGAGGATTGGAATACTTTGGTTGGTTCAGAAACAAAGGAGGAATATTGGCGTTGTTTGCGACAGATTGAGTCTAAGTTAAGTGAATTTCAAAAACCTCTTGAATACATACATGAAAATTGGTTAAATCCATTTAAGGATAGATTTGTGGCCGCATGGACAGACATTTGTATGCATCTTGGATCGACGACCTCAAATAGGTAAGTATTTTAGTCAACTTTTGATATGTTAATTTGAAAATTTATTTTGCTTCAGGAAAATTTATTATTGTTATCAACAGAGCGGAAAGTACACATGCAAAGTTGAAGCGACAGCTCCGCTCAAGCCAACTTAACTTTGAGAGATCATGGGTAACTATACACTCATTGTTAAAGTTGGAGCACACAGAGATTAAGACATCTTTTGAAAAGAGTCGATGTTTTATTCAACATAAGTTCAGGCATCCGGAGTTGAGAAAGTTAGTAGGTTTTGTTTCTATAAAGGTTTTGAGTGTAATTATGTGCGAGTCAGAAATGTAAATTCAGTTTACTTATTGAATGTACATATATGGTTTACAGAGTTAACATTGTAATATCCTCAAAGTGATATTACTATCATGAGTAGGAACTACATCTTCAATCTCTGTAGTATCCTTAAAGTGATCTTGAGAAGCCGCTTTCTGTCTCCTCGTTGAGGCCGTGGGACGCTGTCTATTAGGTCGGGATGATGAAGCCTCAATAGTACATTTGCGAGTCCTTTTCATATCTAAAAACAAACAATATTAAGTACACACCCAGTAACGCATTCGGTAGATGATCACTAAAAAATGAAATAAATTCGGTGGACTATCACTGAAAAAAGAACACATATTCGGTAGAGTACCACTGAAAATTCGAAATAAATTTGGTGAGAGTCTCCTAAAAAATAGAAACAGATTCAGTGGACAACCACCGAAACAAGGTAACAATTTCGGTGGTAACCCACCGAAAGTAAAATAAATTTTCGTACAACTCAGGTTCAAATTCGGTAGACTACCACTGAATCAATGTAACCATTTCGGTGGTAATCCACCGAAACTAGAATCCAGTTTCATAAAACTAGGTTCGAACCATACACAATGTAGAAATCAAAATCAAAATCAAACGACCAAACTACCACAAATAACTAAGATTTCTTGGGCTTCGATAGTCTTACCAGAACCATGTGGTAAGAAGTCCTTCCCAACAATGCTCTCCAAGGCAGAAGACTTCCCTCAACTCTGCACGACAGAACAAAAATATAAGCAAACATTATATATTAGCATCACAACAAATTCAGTACTTTAACCAATTCTTCTCAAATTCGCTATCATATTCCAGAAGTTTTGTTTCTTTTTTCTTCCCAATTAGAAAGCATGTTCCACTTAGCGTAGACAATTCCTAGCAGTTCAACCGAAAAGCATAAAAGCAATTCATTTGTTTTTAAGCGCCACGAGTATGAACTAGTTCGAAGCATTAAGCTTTGGTCAAATTCGGGGGCTAATTTACAGAGCAGATAAAAAGAAACACAAATCAAAGTTCATATACTCGGATCGATGAGAGAGATAAGAGAAGGTGAGTGATTGGAAGCGGACCTGGCCACCGACGACGGCAATGGGGGTTTGTTGGGTTGTGCGATGACAGGTTTGCTGGGTTGTGCGATAGGTCTTTGCAAAGGGATGGGTTCTGCGACGGGGTGTATCTACAAGAGGAGGGAATTTTCTATGGGGTGAGGCTTGATATCAGATGGGATGGGGTTTGATTTCAGATTGGGTGTGTTGAAAGGGAGGGGGGGTTTTCGGTGGGTGGTTTCTAATATGGAATGAGGTTTACACAGTGAGTTAGGGAATGGGGTTCATGAGGGCAATTTAGGGAAAAAAAAGGGGTATAATGGGTAATTTGAAATTTTATTAAAATTTAGTGGGGTGTAAAAAATTATGGGGTGTAAAGAGCAATTAATGGGGTTCATATAGAATTACCATTTTTTAAAAACACAAAGGAATTTTTTTTTTATCTAAACCCTTTGAGTTATAAATTATAAATAAATAAAAAGAAGGGACATTTCCTCTTAAAAGCATATATTTTCTTTAAAAAAAAATAATTGATGTTAGAAAAAAAAAAAAAAGATGATAAGAAACTTGTGAAATTTTTTTGAATAAATTGAATACATTTAATAAGGGTATACTTGGAAAGTAAAAATTAGTTTATATAATATATTAATAATATTATTTTAAGTGTAAAGAGAATGACACATATTAAATAAAAAATTTAAAAAATTTAAAAAATAATGTTAGAGAGAAAGTTACTAGCCTCTTAAATGATTTATGGTTCCATACCTTTTTTATATAGACCGCATTAAGGGTGTAGAGGTTGGTGATCTTGTTAGATAGGAAAGACGACAAGGCATCAAAACCATCGCTGGCTCTCTCTCATTAATCTTGGCGGCTACGTGAGGGCCCACACCTTCAGTCACTTCCGACAGATGGACGCTCCCCCAATAAAGAAATTCCTCCCGTCTCAGTCTTCATTTTTTACCGAGCGGATCCTTCACAGCTGGACGTGTGGGCCCGAATCCCCCCAACCGAACCTAGACGACATCCAGTCCAGGTGGGCCAATCCACAGAAGTCCGCCACGTGTTTGCTTCACCGAAACAAAACCAAACGCTACCGGGTCCTCCCGGTTGCCGGTTAACCCGAACCCGCACGCCACGACCTTGACCCAATCTCAACCATGCTTACGTTTTTACATCCAGGTTCATCCCCCTGAAAATCTCCTTAGCTACTATTCGCCAGTTCATTTCCATATATACATACATGACCCAAAGATTAGAAAGCAAAAAACAAACAGAATTTCTCAGTCTGAAACTCGCTGCCAATCTCCACGGTTTCTAGGGCATGGAAGCGTTTCCTTCTTCTGCGATTTTTGGATCCTCATCATCATCATCGCTTCATCTCTTTCGCTGTTGTCGCTGCTGTCGCTGTTGTCGCTGTTGTTGCTTCTGCTGCACCTAATTCCGTATAGCGTATCTCTCTAAAACTCGATTTTTCAATTTTTGGGATTTTGATTGTTGTTTCTGGATATTTTTGGTGGTTATGGGATTCGCGGAGGCTCAGCCGGACTTGTTTCTAGGGTTTAACGCGCACCACTGCTCGGGGTCAACGAATTCAGTCCAATCCGTTCCGCTGCAATTGCTCGACCTGAAGGAAGAGAAGATTAGGGTTGAGAATGGAGACGATAGTCACGAGGAGGAAGATGACGAGAAATTCAGTCTCTTGGGGCACTCTATCTGCCCGAAGAGGCCGAGGGATGGGTCTGGGTTCGCTCTGAACCCGCCCCCGTCGAAGTGCTTAGCCGTCGAATCGGCTGGACTGGAGGCGAGGCGGGATGCGGTTCGCTCTTGGGGTAACCAACCGCTTTCGGTTTCGGACCCGGAAATTCATGAAATTATGGAGAAGGAGAAGCATCGTCAGTTCAAAGGCATCGAATTGGTGGCTTCTGAGAATTTCGTGTGCAGAGCTGTAATGGAAGCTCTGGGCAGCCACTTGACGAACAAGTACTCCGAGGGTATGCCCGGAGCAAGATACTACACTGGCAATCAGCACATTGATCAGATTGAATTGCTCTGTCATGAACGCGCATTGGCCGCTTTCAGTCTCGATCCAGAGAAATGGGGTGTCAATGTCCAGCCTTACTCTTGTACCTCTGCGAATTTTGCAGTCTACACCGGTCTTTTGCTCCCAAATGATCGGATTATGGGCTTGGATTCGCCTTCCGGAGGGCATATGAGTCATGGGTATTATACTCCCAGTGGGAAGAAGGTCTCTGCAGCTTCGATATTCTTTGACAGTTTCCCTTATAAGGTGAACCCACAAACAGGGTACATTGATTATGATAAGCTTGAGGAGAGGGCAGTTGATTATCGCCCCAAGATACTAATTTGCGGTGGGAGTTCATACCCCAGGGAGTGGGATTATGCCAGGTTTAGGCATATTGCGGATAAATGCGGAGCTGTGTTGATGTGCGACATGGCACATATCAGCGGTCTTGTGGCAGCCAAGGTGTGAAATTTGACATCCTAACGCTAGTTTTATTTATTTATTTTTGTTTAGTCTCCAAATTTGTTAGCTATTTCTGTACATGTGCGGCATATTGTCACAAACCTTTAGATAACAGGAGAAAGAAAATGAATTGACTGATCTATTAAGATATCATATCATGGCCTCTTTGATTGCTACAAAACACTTATTGTTCTGTTTTTTCTCAATACGTATTTCAGTTGAGCTGTTTATCCATAAACAATACTGTAATAGTATGCAAATGGATTAACTTAAACGTATAATATATTTGAAGCTGATGAAAATAGGTTTATGGTTGCTATATGCCAGTCAAGTGGTATTCAGTTTTAGTATCCAGTATATGGGATAACTACTGGTTTAGTGGTTTACTTTATGGGAGTTCAAAGCAGGTATTAATTTAGTAAGCTGCACTGTGAAAGGGTTCCCCTTTTTGAATTGATTTGAATGTAGAAAATCTTTTTCAACCCCCGTTCGTATAACACTCTGGAGATAGTGCAAATTGTTCCACTCTACCTATTGCCTCTGGTTTCCTGTTTGTTTCTAATGTGATGTGTTCCATGCTTCTTGGTTCTCTTGTATCATTTGGTATACTCTCGTGCTTTCTTCATCTTGATGTTTCTTATGAATTACAACTTTTCTTCGTTCTAGTAACTGTGAGAGTTATCCCATGTTATGGTATGGAAAAAATACAGAACTTTTAAAACTTTGAATCACTTGGGTGAGATAGCAACATCCTTAATGCTGTTTCTCATTTCTTTAATATATGGGTTAACCTTCCAAGATTGATTTGTATTACAAATTTAGAATGAATGACCCTTTCACTGTTCTTCTCTTGTATGGATTATCTTTTTGTTGCTTAAAACCGTTGAATACTGATTTTTGGCCATCTGAAACTTGGTGTAATTTTGCGGTTTGACTAGCCTTCATTCTATGAGCCTCTTCATGTTGGTTTTTAAGTTCCCCTTTTCTATGTGAAATGATAAAGAGCGGGATATCCTAGTTATATTAAGCCGTGTATTAATTGAGAACAGGAATTTCTGCACCATATTTTCCTCACTTATAGGCTATTGTTTTTTACAGGAATGTGCAAGTCCGTTTGATTATTGTGATATTGTTACGTCAACAACGCACAAGAGTCTCCGGGGTCCTAGGGGAGGCATTATCTTTTACAGGAAAGGCACAAAACTAAGGAAGCAAGGAATGCATCATACTAATGGAGATGGTAGTAGCCATTATGATTTTGAGGAAAAGATAAATTTTGCTGTTTTCCCCTCCTTACAAGGAGGTCCTCACAACAACCATATTGCTGCTCTTGCCATAGCCTTAAAACAAGTAGCTACTCCAGAGTATAAAGCGTACATGCAACAGGTGAAGAGAAATGCACAGGCCTTAGCTAATGCTTTGTTGAGAAGAAAATGCAGATTGGTGACTGGTGGTACCGACAATCACTTGTTGCTTTGGGATTTGACTGCTCTTGGTTTAACAGGTATTATATTGTTAACCTGCCCAATTTTCACCGAATGGATTATAAAATTATTTGCATGTGGAGCAAATCTTCTGTTTACCTGTTGAGTTTCGTTGTGATTTTAGTCCCAGGTGAAGTCAACTTATAATTAGTCAACATTCAAGTTTATATCCCAATTTATTATGCATTACATGATAGCCTTTATAAGCCAAACAAAAGCTATATTTGCATACATTTGCACATATCTAACCGTGCAATTGTTTCTCTTTTTCCCCTCCCCTTCTCGCCTTTTCTTTCTTTCCGTTGCCTTAAACTTATGATTCATGTAGTTTTGATGTCTAATTTTTATTTCACTATCTAACCCCTTTCCTCTGAACAATGTGATATAGGGAGGAACTATGAGAAGGTCTGTGAGATGTGCCACATCACTCTCAATAAAACTGCTATATTTGGTGATAATGGTGCTTTTTCTCCTGGTGGAGTGAGAATTGGTGAGTAGTCTTTGTCATTTTAACTTGATCTTCAATATTCTGAAAGCTGCATACTAGGCCATTTGGCTGCTTGACTTCTATCAAAACACGGACATCAAACAGTCTCCCAATTTTCATATTTATAAATATCGTTTTATTCCAATTGCGCCTTTTGTGTTTTTCTTCCTTGTGTCTCTTTTGCGTGTAGTCAATCATTCCGCCTACTTGCCTTGCAAGGCACTATTATACGAAGTTGCAATTCTACGGTGTTCTAAGTTTTCTTTTTCTTGTTTGTTTTTGCAGGTACTCCTGCTATGACTACAAGAGGTTGTGTGGAGGCTGATTTTGAGACAATGGCCGAATTACTTCTTAGGGCTGCTCAGATTACTGTTAATGTTCAGAGGGAATATGGAAAATTTCAGAAAGATTTTAGCAAAGGTCTCCAGAACAATAAAGATATAATTGAGCTCAGAAATCGGGTTGAAACATTTGCATCCCAGTTTGCAATGCCAGGATATGATATTTAAACATGTGACATCTCTCATGCATATTATCTTTTGCTTCTGTGGCTTACCTTGCTTGGTAACCATACACATTTTACTTTTGGCCCTGGTTCTGTTCTTGAATTAATCTCGTGTAAATTACAAAGGAATACCGAATAGGTTGCCGATCTTCGGAAGTAGCCCACATTGCCACATCCTCCCTGACTGTCTTTGTGATTTTGTATAAATTATAGAAAGGAAACATTCTACTTCTTTGTGAATGTGTAACCAAATTTATTGAATTTTTTAGCTCTCTGACTCTGAACTGGATTGTTGATCTGGATTTCTAACTATGAGATTACAACCTAAATTCTCTTACATGTTTGCTTTAAAGTTTTGTTTCAGAACCTTGGAGACCAGCCCTAAATCGAGTGGATGCTATAATCCTTGTTTGTCACAATTTGCATTTAACCAACGCATTTGTTGAGAATCACAAACAAATAATATTATGAACTGATCCAACATTTGGAAATTTGTAATGAACACTAAATTGGAAACTATGAAATTTCAAGTCAAAATAGAAAAATAGCTTAGAATTAGAGTTAACTGTTGATTTACCCCTCTGAATTTGTACTTAACTTTCAATTTACTCATTTTTTTTTTATTATTATAGAAAATTAAGGACCTCAATTATTTTTTTACAAATTTATAAATAAACCCACCAATCCCTAGCCTCTCCCACCATCATTCCCTAACCACATCACCGTAGTCTCCCAACTCCAACATCACTCTTCGCCCAAAAAACCATCTTAACCCCTGAAATTCCTTGGTCCACCCAACACCCAAGTCATGTAATATATGCGTCATGATACTCAATCCGCAACCTCCACCCGATCTGCCCATGGGAGGAGAGAGAGAGAGAGAGACAAACACACACACAGAGAGATAAACAGAGATCTTGTGCTTGTGGGTTATGGAATGCTTGTATTTTTTTTGAATTTTTGTTGTCATTTATGGTTGGTTATGATTTGTATTGAGTTTGATTTTGGTGGTGGGGGTAACAATGAGAAAGAGGTGGCTGGGTGGGTGGTCTCAGGTTGGGGTGTTGAGAAGTTCTGGGAGGGAGAGAGCGACGGGGAGGGTGGGTGCAGGAAAGGGGAGGTCAAGGGAAGGGCAAGGGCAAGGGGATGGAGGTGGCTGAGGGGTGGGGGTAACTGTGGTGGGGAAAGGGAAAAGAGGTGCTGAAGGGTTTTTAATTATAATAATTTTGTGTTTTTTGCTTTAAATTTTTACAAATTTATAAATAAACCCAATCCTAGACATGTATTTATAAAAAAACCCAAGCACTATTTAAACATAGAAACACACCCAAAATCAACTTTTTGGGTGTGTTTATAAATGGGTTTTGAGTGTGTGTAATTATGGGTTTTGGGTGTGTTTATATGTTTAAATAGTGCTTGGGTTTTTTTATAATTTCAACTCTCATTTTGGGTTTTTTAGTGAAACTCCCTTAAATTTTTTCTCGAAATTTTAATTATTGTTAAGTTGCAAAAATGCCCAAATTACCCTTAAACAGCCTCACATGCTTGGCAATGATATTTTTAACGGCAAATGCTTGGCACATGATATTTTTAACGGCAAATTGAATGAAATGTGAGGAAAATTAATGGCATGAGGAAATGAGCTAAATAAAATAATTGACGTCCTTAATTTCTTTTTTTTTTTTTTTAAAGATAAGAAGTAAATCAAAATTAAGTATAAATTCAGGGACAAATAAACAATTAACCCTAAAAATTATTTTCCAAGACTTTTTCTATCGATCTCATCTATGAGCATCTTTAAGGGAGATGTCAAATACCAAACAACAAATTTAAATTTGATGGCAGACGTGGCAATGTGACATCTTACACAGTTTTACACTCTACCTGATATGTCAAATTAAATTATTATTTTATTACATTTTAGTGTTGATTTATTTTTAATTAAAAAATATATATATTCATTTAACTAATATATATATATATTCATTTGACATCTTGTTTTTGGGATGTCAAAAATAACATCTTAACCTCCAATCTTCATTCTACATCAACTTTGACATATCAGTTAGAGTGATGTGAGATGTTATTTCTAATTGTTAAATGTTTATGTGACACTTTTGACACATCGGTAGGAGATGTTCAAATGAAGAATGTCAAAGTCGTTTCTTTGATATTGCCTCCAATCTCATTATTCAAATATTTTATTTTCCATGTGGCAATATGAAACCTCTAAATATTTATAATTTCGATGTGGCAATATGAAAGTGGTAAATGTTTATAATCAATCCAAAATGCAAGAATTTCATCTATTTCCTTAAATATATTAACAAACTGCAGAACTAAAATGGCAAATGACTCAATTTACAATGAAAATAAAAATTACGATTTGGCCTTCTGTTTTTACATCCAGGTTCATCCTCCCTTGAGCTCGCCCCTCAATTATCATTCGCCGCATCATTTTCTAATATCACATTCTCTCTCTCTCTCTCTCTCTCTCCAACTCTCTGCCAATCTCGACGGTCTTTAGGGTTTCTGCATGGAAACCTCTGCTTCTTCCTCAGCGACTCCTGCCCAATCATCAAGGCTTCGATCCTGTCGCTGTAGCTTCTTCAGGCGCTGTTGTCGCTGCTACTGTTGTTGCTTCTATTAAAAAAAAATTGAGCAATATTCTTTTTTTTGGAAAATTTGACATTTTTTGGCGAATTTTCGGTGGTTATGGGTTTCACGGAGACTCAGCCGGGACTATTTCTAGGGTTTAGCACGCATCACAGTTCGAGCTCGTCGAATTCAATCCAATCCGTTCCGCTGCAATTGCTCGACCAAAAAGAAGAGCAAATTAGGGTTGAGAATGGAGACGATCACGACGAAGACGAGAATTTCAACCTCTTAGGGCATTCAATCTGCCTCAAAAGGCCGAGGGATGTGTCCGGGTTCACTCCGAACCCATCAAAGTGCTTGGCGGTCGAACCGATGGGGCTGGAGGCAAGGCGAGCCGCCGTTCGGTCTTGGGGGAACCAGCCCCTTTCGTCTGCGGACCCGGAGGTCCATGAAATTATGGAGAAGGAGAGGCATCGCCAGTTCAAAGGCATCGAATTGGTGGCTTCTGAGAATTTCGTGTGCAGAGCTGTGAAGGAAGCTCTGGGCAGTCACTTGACGAACAAGTACTCCGAGGGTATGCCTGGAGCGAGATACTACACTGGCAATCAGCACATTGATCAGATTGAATTGCTTTGTTATGAGCGTGCACTGGCCGCTTTCAGTCTTGATCCAGAGAAATGGGGTGTTAATGTTCAGCCCTACTCTTGTACCTCTGCAAATTTCGCAGTCTACACCGGTCTTCTGCTCCCAAATGATCGGATTATGGGCTTGGATTCGCCTTCTGGAGGACATATGAGTCATGGGTATTATATTCCTGGCGGGAAGAAGGTCTCCGCCGCCTCGATATTTTTTGACAGTTTTCCTTATAAGGTGAACCCACAAACAGGATACATCGATTATGATAAGCTTGAGGAGAGGGCGGTTGATTATCGCCCCAAGATACTAATTTGCGGTGGGAGTTCATACCCCCGGGAGTGGGATTATGCTAGATTTAGGCATATTGCGGATAAATGCGGAGCCGTGTTGATGTGTGATATGGCTCATATCAGCGGTCTTGTGGCAGCCAAGGTTTGAAATTTGATTTCCCAAGTCTTAACTCTAGTTTTATTTCACCCTTATGTATTTACTATTGGTGTGGAGCGTGGACCATAATTACCCAGTTGCTGAATTTGTTACCTATTGCAATACATGTCTGATGCTGTTATTAATGCTTGGTAGCAATTTTTTTTCCATGAAGCTCTAAACTGGCTGAGTGGCTGTTATTGGAGAGCTGGGCAGTTTCAGAGTCCTCTCTTATTTGGCAATATAACGGACTAAATCTTTTTAATGCTCATAAATTTGTTCCACTCTATTTGTTGCCTTAAGTTAGAAATTGGTTGCCCTTTTTTTCTAATGTCATGTGTTCCATGCTTCTTGGTTCTGGTGCCTCATTTTGTTTACTTTTGTACTTACCTGCAACTTGATTTTTTTATTTTTTTTATTTTTTTATGTCAGACAAATTTTCTTCATTCCAGTAAATGTCAGAGTTATATCATGTTATTAAAATTTGGCATTTCATTATGTCCTAGTGTTGTGATCTGATTTATTTCGAAAAGTCGAACTGTACAGTATTCTTTTAATATTTGAATCTCTAGGTGAGATGATAACATCCTTAATGCTGTTTAGGAAACTTATATCTTTGGTACGCATGTTTGCGTCCAACATTGATGTGTAATACTTGCTTAGAATGAGCCTTTCGCTGTTGTACTCTTGTATGGATTAACTGTTTGTTGCTTTAGAACCCTTGAATAAAGATTTGTCCCTCTAAAACTTGGGGTAATTTTGTGTATTTGACTATTCTGCATTCTGTGATTTCCACCATTTGTAAGGTGTTTACTTTATCTTTAGCTCCTGAAAGTCGATTGTGCATAAGTCTGCATTTGTGTTTGTGCTTTCAGTGTGTCTACGCCTAAATCCAAAAGAAACTAAATCCCTAATAACATCGTTTTTGAAGTTCCTCCTATTCTATGTGAAGTGATAAGCAGTGGGATGTTCTGGCTGTATATTAAGCAACTGGACTGGACTCATACTAATTGAAAAGGGAATAACTGCAACATATTTACTTATTAGCTATTGTTTATTGCAGGAATGTGCGAGTCCGTTTGATTATTGTGATATTGTTACGTCAACAACACACAAAAGTCTCCGGGGTCCTAGGGGAGGTATTATTTTCTACAGGAAAGGCACTAAATTAAGGAAGCAAGGCGTGCACCATAGTAATGTAGACAGTAGTAATCACTATGATTTTGAGGAAAAGATAAACTTTGCTGTTTTCCCCTCCCTACAAGGAGGTCCCCACAACAACTATATTGCTGCTCTTGCGATAGCCTTAAAGCAAGTAGCCACTCCAGAGTTTAAAGCTTATATGCAACAGGTGAAGAGAAATGCACAGGCCTTAGCTAACGCTTTGTTAAGAAGAAAGTGCAGATTGGTGACTGGTGGTACCGACAATCACTTGTTGCTTTGGGATCTGACTGCTCTTGGTTTAACAGGTATCATAATGTTAACCAGCCTAATTTCACAGAATGGATTATA